CGTGATCAATGTTCATTTGTTGCTATTGATACAACAGCTCCTCACAATAATATTCTTGGTGTTATACTTAATAGTATATCAAATAGTGGGGACAAAGAAGAAACGGTAGTTATGGAGTCTGAAAAATTAAAATTTATTTTTTCATTAATGCATAAGCTAATGGATGGCTATGATCTATTTAAATTATATAAAACTGATCGTCTTTTCCATTCTGACATTGTGAATGTTGATGAAAAAGAACGTGGTCAAAATTTAAGTACTCGTTTAATTGCTAAATCACTTGATAAAGCTCGACAATTGGGTATTAAAGCTGCATACGTTATTTGTACAAGTTTTTTTTCACGAAGATCATTTATGCATCAGGGTTTTCAAGTTATTAATGAACTTTTATATTCTAAAAATGGAGATAAACGTTTACTAAATATGGGTATACATGATCGATGTGCTTTATTAGGAAGACAGTTGTGAATACTTTAAATTCATATCAAAATGAATGTAAATGATTCAATGTTATTTAAAAATTTCTTATTAAATACATATTTTATATTATTTTTTTTTAAACTAATAAATGAATCATTCGATTTTTAAATCGAATTCGAGGTTGGTATACAATCAAATTTTCTCAGTCATCTTGACTTTCATCAGTTTATCTTATTTGTATTAATTGTTATTTGATTAGTTTGATAATGATAAAATGACAGAGAAGAAATAACAAAGATTAACCTTATGCTCTAAAACTTTTGTTTTCATTTGACCTACAAACATATGAAACAGATATCTATCGAAGGGGTGCTTATTTTTGATTTGTCCTGACCACTTTATTTAATAGTCGAGTTTTTTATGTTTTTGAAATAAATGAGGTTGACTTTCTTTTCGAATAATTGTCCAAACAGTTCTATGATGGAAAAATTAGTCAGATGGATTTAGTAATTAATCATGGTCTAACTGTTAATACTAATTATGTCAAATAATGAATTATCTTTTGATATTAACTTAAATTTCCCTCTTATAATTGTATAATGATCTTTTTGTTCTTTCTTATTGTTGCATAAAATTTGTTGATTTTTATTTTTTCATGTTATGATAAAAATTGTCTTTCATATTTAATAAAACTATATTAGTAATGCTTGTATGTAAAAGTTGAAGAACAATTCACTTGTGAGACAAATGTAGAGTGGGAACGGATTCGGAAACAATTAAGAAGGAATGATGTGATCGAGAATGTAATTGGAGACCACTCAGGGATATGCCTTTCTATTGAGTACTTTTTTTTTTCACTCAATGAATGATAAAATCTTCATCTAAAGAAAGGTTACAGAAAAAAAAATAAAGAAGAAATATCATCAATTTCGCTTGCTGGATATATTCGTAATTCATTTTATTGTATTCCAACAATATCAAGATTGCTTCAATTCAATCTAGCTGTCTAAATTGTTTTTTAGACCTTGATCAGCCTCAATTTAATTAGCTCAATCTAAAATAAATATCTCGTTTCTTTTATTATTTTAGGTTCTATTACAAGACACGTCGTTTCCCAAGCAAATAATTATTTTCCTCTGGTTGTGATGTCATAGTTTATTTAAAGAAAAAAAAACAATTTATATTAAAATGCAATCGATCGAATAAATTAGAATTTACATGATTAAAAGCCAAAATCGTGCAAAGATTTATTGAAAAAATCTCACAATATGAACATAAACAATAATCAAGTTATATTCTATTTCTCATATACGTAAATAATGAAAATGAATTACAAAAAATCGAAATATTTCGAAAAAGTAATAATCATTTAATTTCTCTCTACTTTCCTATTCTTTCAAAATCGGTCTACGCCCAAAAAATTGAACATGAAATTAAACAGTTAAACGATGGCACTTAAATATCGTATAGAAAGCCTGAAAAAAACTTTTTCTCTCTGTACGTATTGATAGTAAAGATAAAGCTGTACGTTTCTCCAAGATTCCATCATTGTTTAACTAATATTTTGTTAATAAAATTTTGATAAGAGCTGTTTGTTATGATATGTGACGATAACACTAATGCCTATTTCAATCAGAAAAAGACAGATATGCAGGTCTTTTTTGTATAACTTTTGATATAAACGCGATAGAGAGCTATGGTTTTCATCGTTAGAAAAACGAGATAAAGACACATGTAGTTGCATATTACAGATTTGTTGATCTGGCTTTGTTAATGTTTTCATTCGATTATTCTGTAAACAAATCTATTCCCTTAGGTCATTTTTAGTGAATTTTCAATGATCAGATTTGCATCTTAATCATCAATCGAGGATCTATAAAACTGCATCAGGCTCAGATGTCTAGATTTTATCATCTAGGTGTTACAAACATTCAAGTGGAAAAAAAAAGCATGTTTTTGCTTTTTTTCTTTCTTCTTGATAAAAATAACCATTTTCTTCGGTATCTTTTTTTCAGGAAACTGATATAAAGAACTTGAAAAAAACATGTTAGAAAAACCTATGATATACGATTCGATGTGTCTATATTTTGCCTTTTTAACAATGAAAAGCACATATCTCTATCTTGTTTGTATCAGAAGATAAGCAAAAAAAAAACTACCCGCTTTTTAAGATGTTATGGAAATCTGGTGTACTATTCAGATTTGAGATAGATGCGTGGCATAATAGAAGAAATTTAACAATACTTGGTTCTTATAATTTTGTCCAGTTTTGTATATTTTGATATAGATGTGGGTGTGAGTGTTTTTCTTCTCTGCACTCACACTCTCTACTATTGAAAGTAGGGAACAATGTGGATCCATTTAAAACTTCTTTGCTTCATCTCAAAAAAACTGACCATCTGCTGCCTATGATATTCTACCAAAGTGTCGTGAGAATTTTATCCAAAAAATACAATAAAAATCCATATTTTATTGAAAGATTTGAAAATTTATGTATTTTAACATAAAATATTCATCGGATACCGAATAAGCTACTTAGTCAAAACATGTTCAATGAAATAATACTTGAGATAACTTTCCAGATATTAAGGAGAATTTGCACATGATATTCTACAGTTTCTCTTACAAACATTGTAAACAGAACTTCGCTCTTGCATAGACGATCTGTTCCGCCGAACTATTAAAGATGTTAGTTATCCACAACGGAAAACTTCCGGAGAAAAATACCGAAAGCAAAACACAAAATATTTAGGAAGAAGGATCACCCTACTTCCTCCCTGCCTTTCTAGTCGTATACACTGAGTAACAGGAAAAGAAAAATTTCTTTTTTTGTTCAAGATGCAACAATAAATAAGACAGATCGTTTCCTTGTCGATCGATTTTTCCTTGGAAAACAAATATAGTCTATTAGACATTTTTCACTTGACATATTTTGTGCTAGTATAGTGATGCTAAAGAACACATGTGAATTCTGCATTTTAGTCTCGTAGGAATTACGCTAGCAAGTTGTGATAATTACAGAAGTTTATTCTTATAGTAAAAAAAAATATTCTTAAGATGACAGAAAAATGGGTCAAAGCTAATGTAGTATCGTTATACAAGGATACATATCATCTGTCTTTCTTATGACACAAGAAAATATTTGCATTGAGTAATAAAAATATAAGTGAAGAAAAAACTAGTTGTGTGATGCTTGTTGATCAATCTATCAATGTCATTATAAGCGTAACCATGAGATAAAGTGACAATAGAACAAAGCAAAGCATAGCAAAAATCTCAAGACAAGTGATCGAACGTTATATTGCATATTCTTTCCTTGTCAATCAACACATATACTATCATTTCTCTGTATCATGTCAGTTCTTATTGAATAGAATCAACTTGTCCACCATGGTCACATATTGTTATGTTACCTGTTGAACAAAATGATGATGATAATATATGTTTTATTAATGATTGAACTCGACATATTGATCGTATAGCTCGTCAATTTACACTACAAGCTATACGTCTTGCTCATTTATTTTCTAGTTATTTAGCATTATATAGACCTAATCGAGATTCAGCTAATGATGGTTTCATTGATCGTTGATCAGATCTTCCACTTACTGAACAATGGATTGAATCAGAAATAATAAGTACAGGTTTAACTTATACATAATTATTAGAAGTGAATATTTATTTAAATTGTTCAGAATTTTTGGATCATATATCTTCATTGATATTCAATAAATCCATGTGATAATACAATTGGAATCAATACTTATAATCCATTTCAAGGTTCACATAAATGTCATCGTGCAACAACAGAATGTCAATAACAGACAATTTCAGAAGAAGAAATAGGTTTTGATTTAGCTAGTTATCGATGTGTATGCAAAATTGGTTATGAATATCCATTTAATTTCATGAAGAATTATTTTGAAGGTGCTATTATTGAACGTGAATATACAAAAATGTTACGTGGTGAAATCAATGCTTATAAAAATATGCAATGTCGTCCTATTGATCAACAAAGGGAACTAAGATATTATATGTTAGATAGTGTCCGAAATAAAATTTCCTTTTTGTTTTATGTTTTTTTTACTTTTTTTAAACAAAAAAAAAACAATTGTTGTTTTTGTTTTTGAATGAATAAACAATTTCTCCTATAATATAATAAAAATATTGATAAATACATATTGCAATTCGAATATGTTTAAATGGCAAAAAGAAATCATTTAGTATTGTTTTTGCTTTTGCATACAACATGGTCTGTTCCGTAAAGAAAAAGATAAGGCAGAAAGAAAAAAGAAGAAGAGACGAAGAAGACGAAGAAAGAAAACAGTAAGTTATATATTTTTTTTCCTTTCTTCGTCATCCAAACTCTTTCATTCTTACAGAAGTACTCAGCGAGTTATGAAAAAAGACAAATAGCAATATATACCGACAGTCATATAAAAAAAGTAACTACGCCGGCGTGCTTGATTTTGCGTTTCTTTCATAAACGTTACTTGTAATTTATCTACATCATAAGACAGTTAATTTTTCTATGTATGTGACAAGATCAAAAAATAATTATGTATTTTTTTCTCTTTTAGATGGCTTCAGAATATACTATTGACATTGTCCCATTATTACCTGAACATCGTCAATCGGTCATTAGTCTTCTAATGAGTTCATTTTTCATACAAGAACCACTCAATGACGTGCTCAAATTTGATATTCCTCATGAGCCATTATCATGGACTAATCATACTATTGATGATGCACTTCGTGATCAATGTTCATTTGTTGCTATTGATACAACAACTTCTCACAAAGAAATTGTTGGTATTATACTTAATGGTATCGCGGATAAGGCGAAAGAAGACAAATTTGTTTTAGAGTCTAAAAATTTAAAATTTATTTTTTCATTAATGGATCAGCTAATGGATGGTCATGATTTATTTAAATTATATAAAACTGATCGTCTTTTTCATTGTGATATTATTAATGTGGATGAAAAACAGCGTGGTCAAAATTTAAGTACTCGTTTAATTGCTAAATCAATTGATAAAGCTGGACAATTGGGTATTAAAGGTGCATACGTTGTTTGTACAAGTTTATTTTCACGAAAAGCTTTTATGCGTCATGGTTTTCAAGTTATTAATGAACTTTTATATTCTAAAAATGGAGATAAACGTTTACTAAATATGGGTATACATGATCGATGTAGTTTATTAGGAAGACAGTTGTGAATACTTTAAATTTATATCAAAATGAAAGTAAATGCTTTAATATTAGTTAAAATTTTCTTTTTATATGAATAGTTTATATTATCTTCTTAAACAAATAAATGGATCAGTCGACCTTTAAATCGAATTCGAAACTGGTATACGATTACATTTCCTCAGTAATCTTGGCTTTGATCAGTTTATTTGATTCCTATTAAGTGAAATATTGTTTATATTTTGCTCGTATAAATTTATAATTGTAATTTTATGCAGCGCCATGAGAAAAATTATCAATCGAATTCATTTTTTAAGCGTTCTATATGATAAAGAAAGCTCTTCATAGAATAACAACCGACCCAAAGTATTTAATATCATCATTTTTTTATTGTTATTTGCCTAGTTTGATAAGGATAAAATCAAATAGAAGAAAAAACAAAGATTAACCTTGTGCTCTGAAGCCTTTCTTTTCATGTGATCTACAAATATGTGAAACAGATACCTATCGAAGGAGTATTTATTTTCATTTAGTAATCAGAGAGAAGGATGATGGTTTCATTTATGATTTCTTCAGACAATGTCTGATTAAATCTTAATCTAAATAAAAGTTAGAGAAAAAAATAAAGAAGAAATATGATTAGTTTAGCTTGTTGAATATATTTGTAATTCGTTTTATTGTATTCCAACAATATCAAGATTGCTTGAGCTCAACCCAACTGTCTAATCTCTTTTTAGATCTTGATCATCCTCAATTTAATTAGTTCAATCTAAAATAAATATCTCGTTTCTTTTATTATTTGAAGTTCTATTACAAGACGCATTCTTTCTTGCGTAAATAATTATCATCCTCGTGTTGTGATGTCATAGTTTATTTAAAAAAACAATTTATCAAGAAATGCGATCGATTGAATAAATTAGAATTTACACGATTAAAAACCAAAATCGTGTAAAGATTTATTGAAAAAATCTGCATTTTGTTGTTATTTAACAATTCTCAGAATATGAACATAACCAACAATCAAATTATATTCAGCTTATCATATAAATAATGAAAATGAATTAGAAAAAAAATCGAAGTATTTCGAAAAAGCGGTAATCATTTAATTTCTTTCTACTTGTCTATTCTTTCAAAATCGGTCTATGTCCAGCAATCGAATATGAAATTAAACAGTTAAACGATGGCAATTAAATATCGTATAGAAAGCCTGAAAAAATTTTTCTCTTTGTATCGATTGATAGTAAAAAATAATGCATTATGTTTCTGCAAGATTTCACCATTCTTTAGCTTATATTTTCTTAATAAAACTTCGATCAGAACTATTTTTATGATACGTGACGATAGTGCACTAATGCCTATTTCAATGAAAAAAAAGACGGATAGATTTTTTTTGTATAACTTTTGATAAAAACAAGATAGATAGCTACAGGTTTCATCGGTAGAAAGATAAGGACAAATGAAATTGCATTTTACAGATTTGTAGATTTTGCTTTGTTGACGTTTTCAATCGGTCATTTCGAAAACAAAACCTACTTCATGAGGCTATATATAATAGATTTTCAATAAACAGATTTGCATTCTAATCATCAATCGCGAATCTGAAAAACTGTGCCAGGCTCAACTATTTAGATTTTATCATTCAGGCGTTACAGATATTCTAGTCAAAACTCTAAATCCATTTTTTTTCCAACTCTTGTGAAGAAAAAAACATTGTTTTAGGCATAGCTAAAGGGTGGTGGAGTATTGCAAAAATATAGAGCATTTGTTTTATTATCAGTCCATACAAAGCGAGAGTTTTCGCAAGTTTTCTATACGGTATTTAAATACCATTGACACTACTTTTCCATTGCTCTAAGTAACTTTCTATCATGCATGATACATTAATGTCAATGTGAATTCCGCTCATGGATTTTGATTGAATGTGAGAAGTATACGTAGACGTTTCGTCTTAAGTGATTAGTTCAACGTATGCCCATAATGGCTTTGAGACAGTATTGTTGGAATATAAAAGTTGATCGTTGTTTGAAATCAGTTCGTTCAGTGTACTTTGATGAGATCTACTGATGAAGGGTCAGAGAAAAGATCAAGAATATCTTACATTAATCAGACAAAATTCATCTATTTGGATGTGATATTTAAAACGATGACTTCAATCATGATCAGTTTATCAATGAATACCTCTAACAAAATAAAGGGTGGGTGCGGGTGTTGATTTTCCTAATTAAAACCTACACCCTATGGCTGAATCGTTGAGATGTTCGACACATATCCACAAGATCGTGTGTTCGAACCTTGGCGTCATCAGACATAGAATGACCGTAGGCAAGTTATTAACGACTGTTTGTCTCTGACCGCCCATCCGATAGCACGCTGACTACGTGNNNATGATTGAAGTCATCGTTTTAAATATCACATCCAAATAGATGAATTTTGTCTGATTAATGTAAGATATTCTTGATCTTTTCTCTGACCGCCCATCCGATAGCACGCTGACTACGTGTGACATACACAAAAGCCCTTGGGACTAGTATGTGGTTAGTCAGCATGCATGAAGAGCTTAAGCGGGAGAAACTCTGAGTCAGACTGTCCTTCTGTCCAGAGCTGCAGCTAGTAATAGCTGTAGGAAAACATTGGACTTTCGAAACTGTTCTTGGACAGCATCCTATACTGAAAGGTAGCCGAGAGGCAAGGATATTCTCCTTCTTCAAAGTATTTCACTACAACGAAAAGAAGGCAATTAAGAATTGAAATTGAAAACTAAAAAAAGATGACTTAAACTCGAAAGATCATTGTTGAAATCAATTTTATGATTTATGTTAATATATACTGTCTTGAAAACCTTCAAGATTTCCTTACACAATCATGTTTTACAATTCAATACATTACAAAGATCTTTAAAAAGTCAGATTGAAATTGTTCAATTGTCCAATTCAATTTTTCATCAAATAATAATAATACAATCATTTGACACGCAGATACCTTTTAAATTATGAATTCTATTTGAGATTTGACTGATAATCAATTCTTAGTTGTAATTTATATTGTTGTTGAGTAAAAAATGCAAATAAAAGTTTAATTATGAAAAATTAATGAATTACTTATTACTTCGATTCGTAAAATAACATTCGATGAAAGTAAGAATGATCATAAATTCGAACTCAACATCATTCAAGACAAACTGACTATGAAAAATCCGATAAAACTTTCCATATGCACAGACTATGTGTTTTAGACCTTCATTTTTACAATATATTCGATATTCATTCATCAAAATTTTACTGATATCAATATCTTGAATTATTTGTTCGAATTTTGATGCATATTCAGAACTACATATTTCCTATTAAAATAAACTGATAATTATAAATCGAAGGATGTGGATGTGGGGTATGGGATTTGGGAATAGATATGAATATTGATTGAGTGGAAGAAAAATTTCACACCCACACTCCATTCCCATCCACACCATAGTCGTGGACAATATTGTTCACTACAACGTTTTTCATAAAATTGCCAAGTATCTAACTTACAAATACTTGCTCTTTCAAACATTGTTCGATACCATTCATTACTAATAAATGATCGGTTACTCGATGAAACAAACGCAGGCAATCTGCTCTATACATTTCTGGTTATAGTAAATGTGCTTGCTAAACGACATCAACATCTAACGTGGGAACGAGCAAGATATGCGCAGGGCACGAAGCTTTCAACTGCATAAAGCGAAAATATATCGTCATCATCTGTTTAACTATCGTTGGTTGGTGTCATTGAGCTTGAAATTGAGATGCCTTTTCCAACAATGAAATTAGGTCACGAGTTGTTTTGTCAACATCAACTGACAATTCAATTGTTCTACAAAGTGCACAACACGGGATGCTGATTTCATCTTGAATTGTTACAACAGAAAATCCTTTTTTTCGACTGAAGAGAATATGGAAACTGTACTCATATTTCACTATCAGCTATTCGACTATTCCAAGTTCTTAGATTAAAGTTTTCTCAAGAATCTTCGTTTTCGATTTGATTTTTCCAATAAAAAAGTACTGAAGACAAACGAATGTCTCTTAGATAATGCTTTTATCGTTAATAAAATGCGCCCATTTTTAACAGTTAATAACGTATGAAAAGTCTTTGAATCCACTCGTTAATAATGCGTTAAAGGTGCTGCATTTTTTAATAGTATGAAGGCATGAAAGTAATTCACTGGGTATTACATCCATCTAGTGTTTTCACCATTATTTTTCTATGAGACTATGTCTTTAGGTTCTTACTACTCATTGGAAAGAAATGCATCCTTTTTATCTCTCATCATTTGGTATTTATTCGAAGAATGGTCGAGTGCACTATATTTTGATGTGGATAACGGCGCTATTTTGATCGAAAAGATAAAACGAAGATTTCTGAGAGTATACAACAGCTGTAGTTTGCATGAAAAAAGCCTAGTTGTTGGTATTTTACAAATTCTTTAATATTTGGACACTTGTACTTTAAATCGATTTGCTATTGGTATGTTTCCTGTGGATTTTAAACATTTTCTTTCGAGTTATCTAGGGTTTCTTGCGCAGAATAATCGGATGCTCCATGTTTCGTTCACAGTGCGCTTTCTGAAAAAACACATCAGCTGCTTCATCATCACCTTTTTCTTTATATACGTATTCAATGTAATTATAAGTATCTGTCAGCGCTATGTCGTTTAACGGTAGACATTGTTGTTGTAGTCCTAATACTCTTATAAACATGTAGAGTGCTACATCAAATGCACGTTTATGTAGATAAATTAATCCAATATTATAGTACAATTCTGTGAGCGATAAATCATTTGGTGATAGATATTGCACTCGTATGTGAACCGCTTTTTTAAAATTAATTAATGCCAAGTCATAATTGTCCAATTCACGTCAAACAAATTCAATACTACTATATGTAACAGCGAGATTGATGTAATCTAATGGTACAAGACGCAGCTGCACTTCTAAAAGTTCATTAAAATATTTCAAAGCGGATTCAAAATTAGCTATTCCACAGTGAGCTAATGCCAAGTAATTATAAGTTTTTATAAATGAAGGGTAAAACGATGGATACGTAGTCGCTTGAATTTCTAGAGCTTTTTCCAGATTTTTTATTACATGACCGTGAGCACCAAATTTTTCATGCAAACGTTCTATATCATTATAAAATTCCTAATTCGGATCATCATTTGATTTGAACTTCATCTCAAAGGCATTTTCCATTTAAAGAAAGGCTTCTTCGATTTCATCTTCGTTTTCATGAAGAACTCCAATACTGTGATACATTACTGCAAGGTCTGAATAATTGTTTGGTTCAGAATGCAATTGTATTTTTAATACTTCTTTTGCACTTTTTAAGGCCGATGCATTATCACCGATTTCCAGTTCAATTCCGATGATTTTAGAATATGTTTCGTCTAATGATGGATGGTATGGCGGTAATACGCTCTGCTGAACCTGCAACATCTTTTCATAATAACTCAATGTTTTGTGATAGTCATCGTGATCTTTGCAAACGTCTCCCATGTGAAAATACAAAGTAATTAATAACTTGTAATGCAAAGATATATTTTTTGAGTAAACTTCAGCTGCTTTGCCAAAGTTCTCTAAAGCTCCTTGGTACTCATGTGTTGCCTGTTGAATCACCCCTAAATATCTGTATGTTGCCGCATAATTTTGATTGTCCGAAAGCTTTAAGTTATTTTGAATGTCTCATACTTTTTCGTAATTTAACCGTGCTAGGTCATATTCTTTCTCTTTCATATGAACTAGTTCGATGTTACTCAATACTTGCGCACAATCTGGATGATCTAACGGTAAATGTAGTTGAGCTTCACTTACTTTTCTATAGTTATCTAGTGCAAGAGCATTGTAACCAAGATTAAACCAAACTCTTCCAAGATCATTATATATTTCAGCACGTCGCATGCATGTATTTTTGTCTGTTGCCACTGGAAATATTTTCTTGTGGATCAGAAGGACATTTTTGAAATTTTCAAGAGCCAATTTAAAATTACCTTGGCGGAAATAAACTTCTCCAATGCCAGTATACACAGATGCTTGTTCTATTCCTTTATCAGTCTTGAGCTGCTTTCTGGAATAGTCATCGCAGCTGTATAATTGCTGTTTGCCAGATATATTTGCTCGACATTATCATCTTTAAAATAAACAACTGTAATGTCTTTATTATCAGTGAGAAGAAATTGACGAAAATCTTCTTAGTTATTTTCTGATATACTGCCAAAGTTCATAGTTACATGAGGATCCATATTTATAGCTCTTTGCAGATATTCAAATGTCTTAATATAATAATGACTAGCCATATAAACGAGAGACATATCAGCATACATAGTGCCAAATGAAGGATGCTTCGATGATAAAGATTCTAATTTAACTTCAATTTGCTTTTGATAAGCTGTTAGAGCAGCTGAATAATCATTTTTGTGGAGATATATTTTTCCAATATCACTATAGGCAGGTCCATACTTTGCATCGTTTCGATGCCATAGTTTAAGCTGAATATCAAGCACTTTTTCAAAATTCTGCAAAGCCATATCATAATCTTTTTTTTCAAATAAACATGTCCAATATATCGATATATATAAGCTAGTTCAAAATAATCGTGCACAGTTGATGGCTGATAATATTCAAGCGTTTGCTGAAATGTTATAATCCTGCAGTATAATCTTTAATGCGAGTATAGAGTACAACAATATCATGATATGTTTGTCGGATTGAGTGATTATTTAAACATTGTGAACTCAGCTGAATTGCAAGACATTTGTCAAGAATTTGTAAAGATCGTTTATTATCGTTTTTGTCCCAGTAGATTTTGACCATTAGACCATAGACGAAAGCTTTGTCTGGATGATTTAATGGTAAAGACACTTGTTGAATAGAAAGTGCTTTTTGACAATATTCTAGAGCGACAATTATAATCATGAATTTCTATATAAAGTGAAGCAATTGCATTATATGTTCTTGCAAGATACGAATGATTTAATGGCCAACATTTAAGAGCAACTTTAAACGTTTTGTTATAGTATATTAGTGTTTCAGAAAAATTGGAAACTTCTGCATGAAAAGTCGAATGTAATCAATGTCTATCTTCGTTAAAAAAAAAAGAAATTGAAGCTTCAAGTTATATATTTAAACAAAAGTGTGCTACATTTTTAGCTTAAAACAATTTCTATGTCTTCTTAATCTTGACAAAGAAAACTTTCATATCGTTCGAATTTTCATATTCACAGTTGTAGTATTTATTATAGCCTGCCGGGCTCGAGTTCGAAAATTTTGAACCTGACGAGGTTAACAGAGTCGTTCATATAGTTTAAATAGAAAATAATATTGTCAAAACAATTATAAGATCTCTGTAATACACAAAAATACAAATAATTGAAGAAATTTTTACACACTTTATATTTTCTTTATTGAATTGGTTCGTATTCTACAACAATCTCTATCCAAATAATCATAAGTTTGGCTTCAGCAATTTTCACTACATTATTTGATTTAACTAATAATTCAAAATTAAATCATTATGATCCTCAGGTAAAAAAAAAAACTAATTTTTTTCATTCACAAATTATGTCGTTCTATGGTTGGTTCAAAGATATTAAAATGAGTAGTAATAAAGCTTTAACTACTATTGAAACAATAAAAATTATTTATGGTTTATAAAGGAAGACAAAGTATACTTCCTTATCACTATCTTTAGTAAATAAAGTTCTTTAACATAAAATATAAATCGTGATTTTTTTTTTCAAGTATGATCTATCGTACACGTTGACGTTTTTAGTATTTAAGATCACAAGTATTTTGATGATTTTCACATTTGATATTTACAGCTTTTGTTGCATCAGTTTATTTACCATTAAAAGGTGTTGATTTTCTGACACAATTTATTATTATCAACTTGATTATAATTTTGGTGATTGAATTGAAGAAAGGCGTTCTCCAACTGATGAAAAACGTATTGAAGTTTGTCTTGAAGATTTTTCTCTCGATTTTGTTTTTTTGTTTTGTATATCTTTTTTTAAATTTAATAAAGAACAAACAATGAAGAGAAAATAATCGTTGAAGAGACAACAAAAAACTTACAATTTTCAAGTGATTGTATTTAAACTATTGCTTGTTTGCCTTGATTTTAATACTCAATGAAGAATAGACAATAGTGAAGTACTATTTAAGTAATAATTCTCAATACTTCAAAATCAAAATTCTTCGTGAAAATTAAATCATCAAAAAAAAAAAACGTTTTTTGTCTCGTTTCACTGACATCTATTCAAATTCTGATATAATACTCAACAATTAATCATAATAATGCAGTTTAATATAATTTTACAATCAATTTAGAATTTTTCAATCTTTTCTTATCAAGTACAATCATCATATTGATGCGAAGCTGCCGCGATAGATTTAGGTCGATCTCTTGTATGTCCTAATATGAAGAATTCCGAATTCACATCAATGATCACTATCAGCACTAAAGACATCACTTGTGAACTTAGCTTCCTATTTATTACAAAACAAACAATAAAAGTTAGAAACCAAACTATAAGAGCATGAATCGATTTTTATATATAAAATAATCTATACACGTACACTTATGCTAATTAATCCTGACTAAGGTATACATGAACATATTTAGCAATATCATAATAATACTCACAAGTGAAGTCTTTCATGTTGATTATGACTATACTTAATAAATAAAGGTCGAAAACTCCAAATTAATTGTAAAATTATATTAAGTAGCATTATTATGATAAATTGTTTAGTTTAGAAGAAAATGTCAATATATGGAATAAATTTTCTTCTGAGAAAAATTATGTTTTAACAAATGTCTTCTTCATTATCATTTCTTACGCAAAAAAAAAGCTACGCTTTTAGAAAATATACAAAATGCACAAGTAAACTAACTGAAAGAGTACAATATAAGAAATTCAGTTACCTTGCCTTTAGTCATGTATAAAAAAACAGCCATTTCAAATTTCTAAAAGAACCTTCTAGTATTTCGTGAATGGATCATTCTTGAATACTTCCCACGCCTACTCTGAATTTTATACCTGATATAATTATTGAAATTAAAAAGGGAACCAATATATGAAAAGGAGTTATAATCTGAGTTGCTGTACATTTACTTGTTCTCTTTCTTCTGATCCATCACATCTATTTTGGCTTCAAATTTATTGTAAGTTATATAACCTTCTACTCAAGTATACTTATACTTTTTTCTTTTGTAAAAACCAAAAAAAAAAAAACTTTTTACTATTAGTTTTTTGTTGATTAATTTAAAAACAAAAATGAATATGTTGAAAACAAGAACACTTAGCACATTTATTTGTTTTCATAAGATTTTTCTTTCAAAATGTTATATGATTTTATTAAAAAAAAAGTCTACTATACATTATGCTGGGAAAAAAAACACAAAAATAGTACGAGATGTAATCTGTTTTGTTTCTTGAAACTCGAATCATTGTTATTTATTTCTATCACTCATCACAATCAATGTGTTATTCCTTTTCATCTTTTACTGATTTGATTTTTACTATGATAAACTGATCATATCTGCATTCTACTAATTGTGATCTTCATGATAAATTCCAAGATATATAAAAATACGTAATAGCTCATAATTTCGATAGAAACAAAACTTATTCAATCGAGAAAACATATGCACAAGTATACTTAAATGATGTGATGATATAAGAGCTTGTGTGATGGACACTTAGAAACGCTTTTTTTTTCTCTTTATACAGTCTTTTTCATCAATGAAGAAAATCAAAGTGCTATCCAAAGAAAAGAAAAAGAACTTGTTGGTTCAACTTTTTGAGACAAAAAAAAAAGTTAGCAATTGCTTTTTATTTTCACCAAATAAAGTATTATTGAACTTTTACTTGTACTCGAGAGTTTAATACAATAGGTACTTATGGATATTTCTTTTTTTTTTTTTTACTTTTGAAATAATAAACTAGGATATTCTGTAGCAGTTGCTATTTTTTCTCATGTATTCAATCCGAACTATTCAATAGAAAGTATAGTTTAATACATTTTAGACAGAAAAAGAGCCTTTTTTTTTTATTCATATAAACTCTCAACGAAAATTGCCTCTTTTTTTTTTCTTTCTCAGACATCAATAAAAGCTTGTCATGCACACGACTAATTAAAAAGCTTTGCCTCCTTCGGTTCATTTCTTGTTCCATAATAACAGTATTGTATATGTTTTCTTTTTCTCTCTTCTCTAAACACACCAGCGAGCATACTTCTCCTTCTTCGAAGAAGAGAAAGAGAGAACATGCCATACATATATATTGAGAGAGAGAAACTTTTTTTTCACTGTGCAAATGAACATATCTCACTAAGACAAGAGAGAGAGAGAGAGAGAGAAGAGAAGAGTCAAGGAGGGATTAGAAAGAGAGAGAGAGAGAGAACTCATCATTGGTAGAAAGAAAGAAATCATTTTCTATTGTTGTATACGTATGTTTCTTCTGTCAAAAATCTAAGTGAATTAAATCGCTTTTCATTCTCCTTCACATACAGTAGTAGCATTTTTACAAGATGTAAGTTGTATGTCAATATATCATGAAATTTTTCTTTTTTTTTTTTTTATTTTATTTTACTTCTGTTATAAATTGACATCAAAGACATTATGTATTCATTCTCGTTCTTTCTTTTTTTTGTTCTTTATTTATTTTAGGATAAAATAAAATTTGTATATTGAAATAACAAAACAAAAATGTTCTTTATAAAATTAATATTTCATTTCGTATTAATATCATCATCATTATGTTCAGCAAATCGTTGGTATCGTATGTTTAATACAAATCATGATGATCCATGTATTGATCGTCATAAACGTTTTCAACGATGTATACCCGATTTTATAAATGCTGCTTATCAAAAGCCTATATATGTTTCATCGACATGTGGAAATTCACCAAAAGAATTTTGTAATCTATCACAATTAAATCAAAATCATCCAATCGATTATTTAACTGATATAAATAATCCAAATAATTTAACATGTTGGCAATCAGATTTAATTAAACAAGGTGATAATGTTTCATTAATATTATCATTAAAGAAAAAATTTGAATTAACATATATTAGTTTACAATTTTGTTCACAAAATAAACCTGATTCAATGGCAATTTTTAAGAGTATGGATATGGTATGTTAATTTTTGATTTTTATTTCGAAACAATTGAAATTTCTTTTATCTAAGGGTTTAACATGGATACCATTACAATATTATTCAAATAATTGTGAAGATATTTTTAATAAAAGTTCAAATGGACTAATAACTCGTTCAAATGAACAAGAAGCTTTATGTATTGATACTAAATCACAATTATCAACCATGAGTGAAACACGTATTGCATTTAGTACACTTGAAGGACGTCCATCAGCATATGAATTTGATACAAGTCCTGTTTTACAAGATTGGGTTACAGCAACCGATATTAAAATTATATTATTATCATCAAATCTCGAACCAAATTCATATTCTGTTGCTGATTTTGCTGTTGGAGGTAGATGTAAATGTAATGGACATGCATCAAAATGTATAACAAACAGGTAAAAGAAAAAGAAAAAAAAAAAAAGAAGAAATACTATTAAATTATTGTTTGATATTCATGCAATAATTCTTTCTATAAACAGACTTTGATTTTCATTTTAATATATGCATTGACCGAAAGTAAACCATTGTCATATGCAAATCAAGTCAAGAACATGTCTCGTGACTGAACAATTGTACGATTACATGATATATATGTACAACATATATATAGTTTGTACGTGACATTGTCTGTCAATCAGCTGACAGACATAGATTGCAAATAGAGATTCTTTTTTTTCTTCGCTTTTCATCGCATTGATCTTGTTTATGATCGAAAATATTATTGTAATTATAATAGACGAAGAAGAAAAAAAAGATT